ACACTTCCATCGTGAGGGAGCTGAAGGAGACGCTGAGCGCCAAGCCAGGGGCCATCGCGCTGTCGGTGGGTGGCGGGGGCCTGCTGTGCGGAGTGGTCCAGGGCCTGCAGGAGGTGGGCTGGGGGGACGTGCCTATCATCGCCATGGAGACTGTCGGAGCCCACAGCTTCCACGCTGCCACCACTGCCGGCAAGCTGGTCTCCCTGCCCCAGGTTACCAGGTGAGCAGCAGGGCTGCCTCCGTTGGCTGTTCATGAGCCTTGGGGAGCCCACCTCAGGGCTGGCTGCGAGGTAGACACCCCCCATGTCAGTCCCATTTTACAGATGAGGAAACCGAGGCTCTGGTCACTTGCCCAAAGTCGCACAACCACGAGTGGTACTGCTGGGACCAGACCTGAGTCTGCATGACTCACTACTGTGAACGTCATGCTTTCTCACACGAAGAGTCCGGTATTAAGCATGTATTGACTGCCCTGTGGCAGGGTTTTGCGCACCTCATTCATTTGCTAATCATTTACTGGGCCCCTCCTATATGCAAGCACCGCTAATCCTGGGCCAGAGTGGTAAATAAACACAGCCCCTGCTCCCAAGTTCATATCCCAGCCCCCAACCTTTGACAGATGGTATTTAATTAGGATTAGGTTTGTCACATTATATAGGAGCCCCAAATAACAGTGTCTTAAACCAGATTGAACTTTACTTCATCTCTTACATAAAATGAAAAAAAAGTGTCTACGGGTAGGCAGTCCAGGGGCTCCAAGAAGCCAGGGCACAGGTCCCTTGAGTTTGTTCTCCATCATCCTTATCATAGAGCCCTATGGCCCAAAATAGCTGCTTAAGTGCCGACTATCACACCCACGCTCCATCTGGCAGGAGAAAGGGAGGGCAGAAGTGATGCCCCTTCCCTTTAAAGACAGACACAGTGCTCCCAGTTACCGCTCATTGGCCAGAACTTAGTCACATGGCCACAGCTACTGCAAGGGAGGCTTGGAAATATCTTACCAGGTCTCCACGTGTGCAGCTAGAATAGATATTGGGTAGATAAGTCCTTATCACAGAGAGGGAAGACTGCGCCCAAAATTCTGGATTCCTGAACCTGGCACCCAGGAGCTACCATGTTGGGCTCTGATCCTGCACTGTTGGGATTGAGGAAATGATTGTTGAGTGCCTACTGTGAGCTATGCCAGGCTTAGGACTAAGGTGGTTCAGGCCCCAGGTGCTCCTGGGCAAGATGGGAATAGAAAGTGATGACTCCAAGGAGCAGGGAGAAAGTGAACGCACTGAGGATGAGTGCAGGTCCTGGAGTTAAAAGGATCCTGCTTGAAGTGCTCACACCACCACTGCCTAGGCACATAACTTCAGGCAAGTGACCTGCACACTCTCTGCCTTGATTTCCTCTCCCATTAAAATCAAACCAATGAATAGCAAAAATGGTTGTGAGAATTAAATAATGCCTGTAAAATCCTTGGCACTTAATACTTGTGCAAGAAATTGTCACTATGCCTGCGTCATGGGGAGGACCCTTTGAGGAGGTGGCCTTAATCCTGAGCCTTGAAAGACAGGGCCAGACCTGGGCGGGCAGAGCCCTTTCAAGGAACCACAAGGCGGTCTCTCTGGCGTTTGTTCCTCAGTGGGTGTTGAGCACAATATGCTATTTACCCCCAGTCAAGCCTCTGTGCCTTATTAGAAAAGACTTCACTGTCGGGGAGCCTGCCCACGGATCCCGCTTCCCTCCTCCCTCTCAAATCCGTCTTTCTCTTTCCATCCCTCCTCATCCCAATCTCTGCCTCCCTCCTCCCTCCTGTTTCCCCCATTCCCCTCCTTTTCTCCATCCCCACCTCTACCAGTGTGGCCAAGGCCCTGTGTGTGAAGACCGTGGGGGCTCAGGCCCTGAAGCTATTTCAGGAACACCCCATCTTCTCTGAAGTCATCTCGGACCAGGAGGCTGTGGCCGCCATTGAGAAGTTCGTGGGTATGTGCTGCATCCTTTCAAGACCTGATCTGCTAGCTCAGGAACTAACTGGCTATCCACATGGCGTCCTAAAAGATCCCATTCCCTGCAAATTTTCCTGACAGTCCTAGCTCCCACCCCAATCTCCCACTCCTTCCTAGAACTTCCCACTCGTGAAAGGTAATACAGTGCAGTTGTAGAAGTGGAAAGGCCAAAGCCACAAGTGAAGAAGTAAGTTTGATAACCATGACAGCAGGGAATAGCAATTAAATATTTAAAAATGCGAACTTTGAGCTTCCTGGTAGCCCAGGTGAAAAGGGAAAGTATGGGCCTCAGGCCCGGCTTCAGAAATGGGTAAATAGACTGGTTTCCTTGTGGGTTCAGTCTAGGTCAGGGATGACACATGTATATGTGTGCAAGCACACACACACACACACACACACACACGGTAAGCACTCACACTGCCACTTAATCTGTATTAGCACTCAGTGTGCTCATCAACCATGGCAGTCTTGCTCAGATGATGACTCAAGCCTTCTCAACATAGAGCTCAGGCAGTTATAATCATTTTATCAGTGCCCGAACTCATAATGAAACCTAGTCGTGATCGGGACTTGGAAGGTCAAGCTGGGGCGGTGAGGGGAGGTTTGGCCTGGGACCGGAGTCTGTGGCCAGGTCTGAGAGCCCAGCAGCTCACACCCTCAGGCTTTCCCTATGACCCAATAGCACCCCTGCACCCTGCCCCCCGGTCCCACCCTCCTCACTCCCTCCTCCACAGATGACGAGAAGATCCTGGTGGAGCCCGCCTGTGGGGCAGCCCTGGCTGCTGTGTACAGCCGCGTGATTCAGAAGCTGCAAGGAGAAGGCAAGCTCCGGGCCCCACTGTCCTCCATCGTGGTCATTGTCTGTGGCGGCAGCAACATCAGTCTGGGCCAGCTGCAGGCCCTCAAGGAACAGCTAGGCATGAAGAATGGGCTGCCCAAGTGAGGGACCATCCCCACCCGTCTGCCTCCCCTCCCCGGGGGAACCCCTGGAGGAGCTGGAGTTTTATCCAGCACCTCGCTGTAAATATTCTTGTGTCTGCCTGGGAGCCTCGGCCCGGGCCAGCCGGTTCGCTTCTCAGTCCCACGAGCCCGCTGTGCCGAGGGGCCGCCCGAACCTCTCTGGCCACAGCGCAGTGGTTCTGAGACTGTCCCTAGCCACCGTGGCTCGGTGACAGCGGCCCATGTATCCTATACCAGGTCCCCAGCGTGGTGGGGGCGGGCAGGAGGGTAGAGATCGTAGCAGCACGAGCCTCCTCCCCGGAAGGCATAGAGGGCTATAATCCAGGACTGAGAACCGTCTGTCCTATCCCCCAGGAAGCCCAGCCTGGCCCCACCCCCCAGGCATTTTTCTAATTGCAGCTTTTTCATTGAAAAAGAAAAAAATGTATTTATGAAATGAAGATCCTTTAAGTTTCTCCTTCATCACTGTCTGCCTCCCTCCCTCCTCTCCCCTCATCTGCCTGCCTGTAGCCCTGCCCCCTAACCCCTGCCCCCTGGAACCTTGGCGCCCCATGGCTGTGGGGGCCAGGACCCTGCTCCCAACTGGGCATGCATGAAGGGAGGCAGAAAGCAGGAAGGGAGGAAGGTGAGCAAGAGCTGGTGCAAGGGCAGCCTCCGTTGGAGCCAGAACCCACCCCCAAACCAAGAGGCAGGTGAGGCTGGCCTCCTTCTGACAAGAAGTCCTTCCTGCTATCAGAATGACTCAATCATAGAACCAATGGGAGCAGAGCAGTGAGCCCCCCGTCTCCGGGGGTGTGTAAACTGACACCGGACACCCATCTCAGGGATTCAGAAGGAGCGGACTTGAGATGAATGCCTTGCAAAGCCTCTCAGATGTGAAACCCTCTTCCCAGGTGAAACCCTCTTCCCAGGAGAGCGCTGCTGATGCCGGCACAGGGAAACCGGGAAGAGGGCCTGCCGGGGGCTCCTCAAGGTCTGGGAAGGGGCGCCACCACACCACCCCCAGCAGCCCCAGGCAATTCACTGAGTCCCCAAGTTCAGAGTGCAGCTTGAGATCCCCTCCAGTCCCTCAGGACACGATGCAGATCCACACGGGTCTGCAGAGCTCCTACTACCAGCAGGGACTGGGAGATTCAGGGGAGAGTGTAAAACCCACCCCAAACCCACCCCGGACACAGGCTCATCCACTGACTTCCAGCCAGGAGGGACAGAAACATATGTTATAGGTGATGGGACATCAAGGGTGGGCAGGCAGAGACAGCAAACCATCGGTCCCTTGGTCCCACATTTCTTCCTGGGGGACAGAGTGGTGCTCAGTTCAAGAAAGCCTGTGCAGAACAGGGTTGCTTCCAGCCTCGGCTGTCCCACTTGAGTCAGCACAAACCCCCCAAAGAGGCAAGGCCTACACCTCTGTCCACTAGAAGAGCTGAGGCGTGGAGGGCTGGGGTCAACCAGCTGGCTAAAATCAGATGGGGAGAGACTCTGTTTCGTGTCAGCCTGTATCCCACAGTGGAACTTGGAAAAGTCTTGTTGGTTAGCAAGGCCCTGGGATAGTACCCAGAACAAAGTAGGTGCTCAAGAACATCTGAATGGATGGACGGATGGATGGATGGACGGATAGATATAGATAAATGAATAAGTAGATGGGTAGACGGATGACAGATGAATAGGTGAGTAGACGGAAAATGGATGGATCTATGGATGAAGGATGGATGGATGGATAACAGATGCGTAGACGGATGGATAAGTGGATGGATGGATGGCTAGGTAGATGGACTGATGGTGGGATGGATGGATGGACAGGTAGGTGAATGGACGGGTGGCTGGGTGGCTGTGTGGATGGATGGACAGATGAGTAGATGGATGAACGAATGGGAGACCGCAGGTGCACAATGGGTAGGCAGGTCAGCAGACGAATAAACGGACAGATGAACAGACAGAAAAATGGACAGGAGGATGCATGGGTGGACGGTGTAGAACCCAAACCAAGGAGGACAAAGGGCACCAGCCCAGCCTCCCCCACTATCTAAAAAAGCACAGCACACGGGCCACGGCCTCTCATTTAATGGCAGCACAGTCTGCAATTCGGTTCCTATAGCAGGGGAGCTGTGGGCACTGCCCTGAGGCCAGGGGCGGGCCCAAGCTGGGGGCAGAGGGCACAAGGCTGCAGGAGAGAGGCTGACACTCTTCTCTGCCCTGAAGGCCCCTCCAGCCTCAAGTCACCAGAAACTTTGGTTTTGTTTGTTTTCAAGTTTCTGTCCTCAGGGAAGCTGTCCAGAAGGGGAAACAAAGGGGCTGTTTCCCGAGCGAGCAGAGCAGCTGGGGCTGGGAGATGGAAGGACCGATGCCAACCAGAGGCAATGCCCAGGTCTTGGGCCAAAACCCCACAAGTCCCAGAGCTACTGGCAGGAATGACATTGGGAGGCGGGAACTGGAAAGGTCCCCTCCTGCTCCACCAGAGGCCCCAAACCCCATCTGAGGACCCCTCCCAAGCCCTCAAGAGGAGGCAGCATGAGGACAGGGCTCCAGCATAGGAGAAAGAGAGAAGGAAACAGAGGAAAGAGAGAGAGAGATGCAGAGAGGTGGGGGACAGGGGAGGCACTCCCTCACTGAAGGGGAGCGAACGAGTCAGTGCTGGGGCCTCATCAGGCCCCGCATCCTAACCAGGAGATGATCCGGAGACCAGGGAACCTGGCAGACCCAGGCCCCCCAATCTGGGCACAGCAGGGGACGATGGCCACGGAGGGGGTGGGCAGGAGGTCAGGGTGGCGGCCGGTGGGTGGCCCCAGTGGCTGTCAGCAGGGCAGAGAAGGAGACTCAGTCCCACCAGACCTCGATGGGCGAGAACTTCCAGAGGTCAGGCTGGCCCATGTGCAGCAGGCCGCTGAAGGGCGAGGAGCTCCACTGGAATGGCGGCAGCTGGTCCCACGTAGGCCCACTGACTGCGACGATGTGAAAGGCCCTGGCCAGTGCCATGCTGGTCATCTGGAGGCCAGGGCAGAGGTCACTGAGCACCAGCCTGGGCTGGGCTCTGAGCTGCCCCAATCCAGAGGGCCCTGACCCCAGCCCTAACTTGGCCCCCACCCGCAGCCCCATGCCAGCCCTGCCCCCCGGTCCGCCATCTACTCTGACCCCCGCCACCCCGTGCCCCGCAGCGATGACACCATCCCAGCCCACCCCCTGCCACCAGGCCCGGGGTGGGGCAGCACCTTTACGTCTATGCCCCCATGGGAGCGCTGGTGCAGGGCCTGGAAAGGGTAGGAGCCGTTGGCGGGGTTCAGGTCAGAGCGGGCCGAGATGGCGTTCTCTGCGTTGGCCTGAGGGTTGCAGGCTTTGCACAGTGACAGGGGGTCATGCAGGAAGTCATTGTACCTGGATGTGGGAAGGGAGGAGGCATCAGGCGTGCTGGGAAGGGGAGGCCAAGCTCCCACTGGTGGCAACCCCGGAAACAAGCCACCTGCATTCACGTGCCCAGCTTCCCTCACTCTTCACCTCATCATTCCACGCCTGTCCTCACATCCGCCCCAGAGACCTTCTGGGGCCCCCAACCCCGATCTGGGCTAGATACCCCATCCTGCCCCTCACAGCAGTGCTGGGGGCTCTGCCCGTTCCACCCTCCGTGCCCACATCCCCGCGAGGGCTTGACGGATCTCACATCTCCCACAGTGGGGACTCCCTGCTTTGGGCCGTTCCTCTGGCTCCAAGCATGGTGCCCAGCACCAGGGGGCCACTCAGCACCTGTAATGTGTGCTTACGGCTGGCCGCCGCCCTGTGACCCCCGGGCTCGTAGTGAGGCTTACACACGGGGGCCAGTGAAGCGTGCGTAAAGCTCTATGGGACTCGTGGCACACACTCCCCCACGCACCTCATGAGCCGGAGCATGGAGTCCAGGTCGTGCACCAGCGACTGGTTCCGTCGGAAGATCCGGGCTCGGGGGCTCCCATCATAGGAGAACCAGTCCCCGTACTGGGCTACCAGGGCCTGCATCCCGCTGGCGTTGAACACACTCTCAAAATACCTATAGGGGGAAAAGGATGGTCACTCACTGCCCCTGCCCATGCTGGCTGTGCCCGGGAAGATGGAGGGGTGGTCACACCAGAACAAGATCACTAACAACCATGACAGGACAGTGACAGTCATGTCTTCTGTGTGTGCTGGGAGGTGGCTCGCTGGGGTGACCAAGCTTAGGCTCTGTGGTCCAAGAGACATGGTTCAGATGCTGACTTCACCACTGAACAGCTGGGGAATGCGCCTTGGGAAAGTTAGGCATTTGCTAGAGGCCTCAGTTTCCTCGTCTGTGAAATGGGAATGGGGGTCATGGCGACCATGCACTGGTTGTAAGGAGCAAATCTCTCATTGGTAGGGCACAGCGAGTGTCCGGAGGTGACGGCCACGCAGCCTGGTTACAGCAGACCCGATGGGGGAGCCACAGGGGGACGGCACCTGAGCCCGGCCACCCCCGACCCTCCGTGGGCGCAGACCTAAGTCCCACTACTCTCCGCCAAAGAAAGGCCAAGGTGGTTTCTTCGCTCTGTGGGCGCAGGGAAGAACCCCTGACCAGCATGGAGAACTGAGTAGGGGTGAGGCAGCTACGGGGCAGGGGTGGGGACATACGGTAGGTTGTAGCTGGCCCAGTAGGTCTTCTGGTAGAGTTCTGAGGTCTTATCGGCCACCACCACCATGCCCCTGGGACCAAGAAGAGAGATGGAGCAAGACTGGTGAGAAAAGCGGCACCTGTGGGCACTGCCCTGCTCAAGAACCCCCAGCGGCTCCCCATTGCCCAGAGGAAGATTAGGTCCTGGATCTTCTACCCCAGCCCGAGGCTGCCTCCCCCTCCCACTTGGCCTTCCTTAAGATGTTCACCTTCCCACACACATTCCGGCGTGCATCCAGACCTCCGCCTAGGCAGCCGCGGAACCCCCTGCTTTCCTTCCCAGGCTACTCACGGGATCTGCTCCAGGATGGTGAGGACCCTGTTGCCGGGGCTGGGCCCGCCGGGGACAAATGCCTTGTAGTCCACAATCATCCACTGGTTGTTGTACCTGCCACGCCAAAGGAAGGAGGAATGAACACACCTTGGGACCACCGCCCCAGCCTCCCTGCAGCCCCAGTGCTCCGCACCACCAGCAATCAAGAGAAAGAAGTGGCACTGGGGGGGAGGGTGTCCTGACATCTGTCACCCTGACACTGCCGCTTGACCAGGTGTCCTCGGCTCCCATCATGCTGTCTGTCTGCTCCAGAGAAGGCTAGTGTTTATAGGAATACAGGTCAATTCTTCAGCCCGACGTTGTAAGTCCCTGCACTATCTAGTTCCAATGTCTCCGGCTCAGAGGGCCCCCGCTGACCCATGCCCACTTGCTCACACAGCTCTCCCACCTCCAGGGCCCTCAAATCCCAAGTTCACTTCCTGGCTTCCCTCTGAGGGCCTTTCCCTAGATGGAAAAGCCTGCAGGGGAGAGGCGAAGCCCCCATTTCCCTAAGTATAAAACAAGGGAGAAGACTTTAAGACACCTTCTACCTCCAGCAGGAACCCTGAGAGGGCTCTGCAGAGGGTATGGGGGGTGTGTGGCCCCGGTGCCACGTCCCTTGGGCTCTGTCAGTAGGGAAGGTGGTCCATTTCTCAGTGCCGGGAGCCTACTCACGTGCCACTGTTGAACCTTTTGAAGATGTCTGCCCAGGCGTCCCCGTCCAAGGCCAAGCGGTTGGCCGCCACATTACGCAACCACTCCAGCACACAGTCCTTGGGCTGCACGTACTTCCAGAGGGCCGGGTTCCTGTTGCCGATGGTGGTCTCCAGTGTCACCTGTGGGAGGGCCGAGGGGGTGCTGCACGGAAGGGCCCCCTCACTTAGGATGAGGGTATGCTGTCACCAAGTGGCAGTGCTGATCAGTCAGGGTCCGTACATTGATTACAGCTTTTTGAAACCTCACATGCTGCTTTGGGTGCACATTCCTCACCGGTTCCCTGGCTGAGCGCCGAGGGAAATTCACAATCATGCATCCAGCTTTGCCCTGGGAAAGAGCCCCTGGGAGAGTCAATGGCGCTGCTCCTATGGACCTGGTCCCCCACCCGAGTCAATCAACTCTTTCCCCAGAGAGACAGCGTCCCATTTCTACCCCTTCCTTGCAGTTGTGCGGAGAAAATCAGGTGACTCAAGGCTGTTTGCCTGGTAGACCATCACAGTCTCACCGACCTCTTCCAGCCCTCCTGGGAAAAACACAGCATGGCTACTAATGCTCCTTTTTACTGAAAGGTAAACTGAGGCCTGAAGACGCTAAGAGACGTGCCAAATGTCACAGCTGGTCAGTGGACAGGCCAAGATTCCATCAGCAAACTTGCAGCTCTTAAATCAATGTCCTCTCCTCTACAGCAGGGCATTAGCACGCTTCCTCCTCTCTTATGCAAAGCCCCCAAACCAGCTAAAAGATAGCAAGAGCCATAAATGTGATGTTTAAAGGAAGAATCTGGAAAGCAAGCCTCTTGACAGCAATACCCAGGTGAGAACACTTAATTCCATTCCTTTCGGCCTATACCTCCCTTGACCCTCAACCGGCCACTCTCCCTCCAGAGCCACTGCCGGGATTCAGATCAGTGTGGCCCAGAAAGCCCTGGAAGGCAGTTTCCCCTCCCAGGATGGGGGAGTTCTGAACCTGGGGCTGTACTCCGGGAGTCTGCAGACTTAGAGGGGAAAACACGACCTCTTCCTTCCCACCACTGCCAAACCGCATTCAGCATCTCCTTGCACCGTAAGCACAGGTGACCCGCCACCGTGACGTGAGTGGTACCTGAGACTGTCACCAACAGAAATCAGATGTGTTCCCACCATACGACAGGGTTGCACCCATCTCAAAATATCACTTATGCGCCCCATTCCTTGGAAATTAAGGTAGTTAGCACATCCGCTCCGAGAGCTTGTGATTTAGTAAGTTCACAAAGAAGCGCGTATATAATGTTAAGAGGTTATTTATGTAATATTTCGCCAAACACCTTTTAATATCACTGGTTTCCTTTATGATCCGATATATTTTGGTGTCTGCATCTGAGAATGTTATTCTGAGAAGGGGTTCACAGCATCCCAGATTCTGTCAAAGGGGTCTGTGGCTTAGCCACCCTTAAAGACCCCGGTGGGAGGTACATTTCCTGCCAGGACCCCTCCCACCAGGTCACTGGGTGAGACCTTCTCAGCTGTTCTTCCCCAGACGGTCCCCTCCTTGCCCCAGCCAGACCGTAGCGAGGGGATCCCCTCAGCTACCACTTGGCCCTCTCACGCCTCCTTCCCCATTTCAGGGGACTAAGCCCCCCACTGCTCTCAGAAGGCAGCAAGAAAAGGAAAGAGCCCCTTGTCGCAGAACTGCAGGGAAACCAGCACCTTCTGCTTGGAGGGTGTTTTTAGGGCAATGTTTTCCCCTCCTCCGCATGTTGCAATCTCAGGGCTCAATGCCCCGGCGAGGGGTGCCAGGAACAGATTTCTAAACGAGCCTGGACCCCAGCCAGGAAAACCGATAAAAACAACACATTGTAAACAGCATTTATTCAGAAAACCTGGCCGGGTTAGAGGGAGTTTGAGGAAGGCAGGAGGGGAGGCAGGATGAGAAACAGCAAGGGCACGGTGGAGGGAGGGATGGCTTATGCTAAAGACCGCCAAACAAAACAGGGTCATTGAGGTCAAGGTCAAAGATTTTGCAAAAGGGAAATTAAGTGCAGCGAAGGCTGAGGAGCCGGCTCAGAATGCAGGGTCCAGGGAGAATGCCAGATCTGGCAGCCCTGACCAATAGGGACTGAGAATCCATTGGTAAGAATCAACCCGCCACTCCCCAGTGGTCCAAGCACCAGAGCAGAAGAGGCCCAGCGTGGGATGGTGGCGGGGGCGGGCACTGCATCTACCCACCTGCCCCGAGCTGCCCGGTGCCCCAAAACCCCTGGGAGAGAAAGGTCACATGGGAGGGACACTCACCAGCCCGCTGCCCATGATGTAGAAGTCGTCACAGGAGAAGAGTGTGCCAGGGTAGGACGAGAAGACCACCTTGTTGCCCGGAGCCAGGGGAGAGTTCTCTGCGGGGGGGCGGCGGGGTGGGGGAGGAGAGTGAGCCCAGCAGGGGATGGGGGTACAGGTCAGACAAACCCATCTGGGGATCCCCGCACCCCAACTGAAGAGCCAGAGACTCCAGGTAGGAGAGCAGCTGGTCTTGGGGGAGCCTCCATCCGTTCTGATATTTTAGCAAACCAGGCCATGAGCCGCTGGTGGGAAAGGGGACTGGGGAATGACAGCTTCCTGGGGCTTCCTTCCGGGGTGATGAAGGTATCCAGGAACAAGATGCGGGTGATGGGGACACACACTGCGGATATTCTAAATGCCACTGAATTGTTCGCTTTACGCCATGTGAATTTCACCTCAATTAAATTATTATTTTTTTACTACCAGAAATTTTTTTAAAAAGTAATTCAGGTTTTTGTTTGTTTTTCTCTTCTAGAATAGGCATAACTACCTAATGGGAAAAAAACTAGAAGAGTCAATACCTGAAGAATAACTACAAAGGGGCACAGGGAACTGCCTGGAGGGATGGAAATGCTCTCTGTCTTTACTGAGTCGAGGTCACAGGACTGCATGTGTTTGTCCAGACCTCCCAATATATACATCCTAAAGGTGTGTGTAAACCAGCCATCAGTAAAGTTAATACGGACCCGGAGGGTGGAGCTCAGCCCAGGATGTCATGTATCACCTATCAGAATGAAAAAAACTGAAATGAACATAACACCCAGTGCTGGCAAGTTTGGGGTAAAGCTGACATGCTCATAGACTTGTGGACAAGTGTAAACTGGACCAGCCACTTTGGAGGGCAATTTGGCTGTATGTATCCAGAGACTAAAATGTTTAATTATACCCATCTTTTTTTTTTTTTTTTTTTTTAAAGTAGGCTCCACACCCAGCAAGGAGCCCAATGCTGGGCTTCAATTCACAACCCCAAGATCAAGGCCTGGGCTGAAATCAAGAGTTGGACGCTTAACCAGCTGAGCCACCCAGGCACCACTAATTATCCCCATCTTCATATTTTTTTCTTTTAAGATTTTATTTGAGAGAGAGAGCAAGTGGGGGAAGGAGCAGAGGGAGAGGGACAAGCAGACGCTATTCTCAGCACAGAGCCTGACATGGGGCTCCGTCTCACAACGCTGAGGTCACAACTTGAGCCGAAATCAAGAATTGGATGCTTAAGCGACTGAGCCCCCCAGGTACCCCTACTTATGTCCATCTTTTAACCTAGGGTTTCCACTTGGGGGCCCACTTGTCTTGCCACAGCCCCGACCGAAAACACCAAACACCCGGACATGGCCCAAATCCTCAATCGAGAACTAGTTAAAGTTTAGTATCAGCGGTTAGAAGGTGGACTGAACATGGCAATATCCAAAATTCTCCAAGGCCAGCTGTTGAGCAAAGAGAGCAAGCTGCAAACCATCCATATGGTACGGTCTTATTTATGTTTTAAAAAAAAAATCCAGAAAGCAAACTGCTTAGGGCAGCAAAACTGCTGTATGGAACCCTACAAGTAGATATCCATCATTGTGCGTTTACCAAAATCCGTACAACCATACTATTCAGAGCGAACCTGAATGTCAACTGTGATTTCTACTGAGAGTGACGTACTGACATTGATAGATAATTATAACAAGCGTACCACGCCAATGCAACACATTTATAACAGGAGAAAGGAGCAGGGAGGTATACGGGAACTCTCTGTATCACCTACTTGATTTATCTATAAACCTCTAGCTTTTCTAACAAATAAAGCCTATTAACTAAAAAAAAAAAAAAAAAAAAGGTTCATATATACACAATAGAAGTGCATTCTAAACATCCAAAGTCTAGATAGATCCAAACCAAAGTGGCAGCAAGTATACCCTTAGGAAGGGTCTAGAATTTGGAAGAAGTGTATCACAAGAGATATATTTCTTCATCTGCATTGCTGGAACTTGCATCAGCAAGAATGTATTCACATATTACTAGCATAATAAAAATCAACGAAAACAAATGGGAAAATAAGGAACATTTCATTTAGAAGAAAAACAGAACCAGATATTCACAGAAATTATCTCCTGTGAGTTACGGGGTGTTCAAGTGATTCTGATTGTATATGAATGTTTTAGTGTATTTTCCAATTTCCTATACCCTATGTGTATGACTTATGTAGCTTTTCGTTTCTTTGTTTAATTAATCTCTACTCCCAACACGGGGCTCAAACTCAAAACCCCGAGATCCAAGAGTTGCGTGCTCTGCGGACTGAGCCAGCCAGGCGCCCCCTCACATAGGTTCTTGTCGGAAGAGACTACAATGTTCATGGATCTAGAGCAATGAACTGGACAGATCTGTGGCTACAAACAACAACACGAATAAAGTTCACAGCCACTGCGCTAGACAACAGAAGTCAGACACAAGCGAGCCCGTGCACGTAACATGCAAAGTCAGGCACGCCGCATCTACGCTGTAAGAAGGCAGATGGAGATTATGCTGGGGTGGGGATACGTGCCTGGAAAGGGCTGGGAGAGCAGCTGCAGGGGGGCTGGGAACGTTCTGTTTCTCGGTCTGGGTGCACACACAGGCAGCAACACTTGGAGCCGTACTCGTGTGACGTGCACGCTTCTCTGTGTACGTGTCAACGCAGAAATCTACTTAAGTTAATGGACATGAGGTTGTTTCCCAACCATTACTGTAGTTGACACCCTTGTACACCATCGTTGTGCAGAAGGCAAAATGGCTCCCTAGGGACAGATCTGAGCCAAGAACTGCTAGACCGCGGGAGTGACAGGTTTTGAATTTTATCAGATACCGGCGAGGTTCTTCTCCAAGTGACAGCGCTAACCGGTACTGCCATCATTAGCAGAGGGACTCGCCACCTCCTGGCAACATTGGATTTAATTTTAAGTTTCACCAAGAAGGAGGTACTTTAAACATCTGGCAGTGGCTACCTCTGGGGTGGACATTGGGGCCCGGGATTGCAGGAGATCGCCACGCTGGGGTACTCGGACCTTAGCTGCGAAGTTTTCACATTTGACAGGAAGGGTGTATTCATGTCTTCATGCATTGTAGCTGAGCATTTGCCCTGAGTGTCTGCTGCAAGTCTTCCCAAGCTTGCGTCCCTACTGTCTGCCATGGGACCCTGTGACTCCTCACATCAGATGCTGGGCTCTGTTTTCCCCTCCTCTCAAATCAGAGCTGGCCACTTGCCTTGCTTTGAGCAGCAGGGGGTTGTGCCCATTTCAATCAGCCTTTAAGAGGTCTTCCACACTGCCCCGCTCAGATGTCACCTGAATAAGCCTGAGCTCACCCAGCTGCCCCCGCACCCAGCGGAGAGCCACCCCCAGACATGCGGAGGAGGCCAGCCTCAGTCGCCGACAGCAGAACCATCAGTCACTCAGCCAAGATCAGCCGGGCCTAGCCCAGCATAACAAAACCATCCGGCTGACCCACAGACACGTTGATCAAAAATTAATGATTGTTTTAAGCTTTTGTTGTTTTAAATTTGGGGTGACTTGCTACACAACAGCAGGTAACTGATACGCCTCATGAAAATGAACTAAAAAGAAACCAAGATGTCAACAATAAGGCGGACGCCTAGAATGGTTCCACAGTGTGCACAGGGCCAAGGCCCACAGCTCCCAGCAACCCCCACCCCCTGCACTGTGTGCCCCGCACGCACGCTCACACACACGGACATACCCACGTCCACCCACCTAGGGGGTCTTCCCGGAACTGGAACCAGTACTTCTTGATGATGCGCAGCATGTTCTGGTAGGAGCTCCAGGTGTTGTGGGCGATCAGGAGGTCCGTCTGGCCGGGCAGCAGCTTGATGAGGGCAGAGCAAGAGCCAGAGCCCATAACGTGCTTGGTCTTGGTCTTATTCAGGGCGGGCTCCAAGTCTCCCAGGTCCCCTGCGAGCTGCAACAAGCTGAGGAGGGCAGGATGCTAGAATGTTACCATGCCGGCCTGCCGGCAGCCTGTTTCTATACCCCCTTCACAGAGGAGGAAGCTGAGGCTCTGGAAGGCTAGGTGAGCGGTCCAAGGCTGGGCCAGAAGGAGGCAGAACCCATACGGGAGCCCAGGTCTGTCTGAGAATAAGGTGCATGGCCCTCTCCCCTACCCTGTCCGCTCCGGGAGTGGCACTTACAGGAACCCCAAGGGTTTGATGGTAAACCTCCCAGTTGGAAAGGTCATACGGCCTTCATAGCTGTCCTCGAGGCCTTTCAGCTGCAGGAGGGTCAGCCGCACCTAGGGGGAGGGGCACAGGCGGGGTGAGGCCTCTCCCCCTAGGGCTCACGCCTTCTCTTACAATGTGAGGGGCCCCGGTGCATCCTCCAGGATCTAGACAGCCCTGACCCCCCTCACCCAGCCCTCCGTGCCAAGCACTCTCTTGCTATCGCTTAGCTAACTAGATGTTTCTGCCCTCTGCCAACCTAAATTACCTCCACTTAAGAGCCCAGCTGAAAGCCCCCTCCTCCAAAAAACCTCCCAGCCGACCGTGACCCACTGTCAACTGTTCCTTATTCTGAGCTCAGCTCCTGGCTGCTCTGCCACTCCGGGCATATGTCTCACTAGCTGACTTGTCTCCATTGTCATCGTCACTATTCTCTAGTTAGGGAGATTGTCACAGGGTCCCCGAGCGGCCGTGGTTGGCTCTGGATACACACCAGACACTTTGTTAGCATCTGTAACAGGGATGGACGGACGGACAAAAGGGTAAGATACATGGACAGACAGTCACACAGCACTGAGAGATGGATGCGTGGCTGCTAAGTTAGGTAGAACGGAGGCAAGGACAGAGAAGCAATCGTCCAGGTGGAGGGCAGGGTGGACAGAATGACAGCTGTCCAGTCGGGTGCAGAGCCTGGATGTGCGGACAGGACAAGACAGATCCATTCCTTTATCTATAAATATTCAACCAATCTTTACATGTAAAGCACCTACTATGTGCTGGCCCTCGCGCTAGGCGCCTCAGATCCTGTGGTGAACAAAGCAGTACTGATCCCTGCCTTGTCCTCACAGGGCTCGGGTCTCGCTGAAGACAAGACTCTGAGTCCCTCACTACAGCGCCACAGGTAAGTGGGGACGGAGGTTGTGGGGGAGGACGTGCTCTGGGCAGAAGGGGCAGCACAGCCCCGAGGCAAGAGGAAACACATCTTGTTCAAGGAACCAGGAGGTCAGGGAGGCTGGACCACAGAGCAGGAGGTCAGCAGGAGATGAGCCTAGGGATGGAGAGGGCGCAAAAGGGGCGCAGGCATCATCCCCAGGTAACCAGACGGCCCCCGGTGGGGAGAGCGAGTGGCTGTGGTGGAGCTACAGATGGACAGACTGACACCTGGAGGTGCTCTGATCGCCAGGAGGTAGGTGGGGAATGAAGGAGACAAGGTGGGTATCAGACAGACAACTGGGCAAGTGAATGGGAAGAAGTGTAGGCAGGGAGTGGACAGACAGGTAGATGGTGGGCGGGAAGCTGGACGGCAACCAAAGGGGGTATGTCAATGGCTGGGGCGGTGGCTGGTGAGAGATCAGAGCTGGCCTACGATGGGCAGAGGGTGGCAGATGGGTGAGAGGAAGAGAGAGGAAGATGGATAAGCCTGTGGGTGGTGTGTGTGCTGACAGACGAGCCCCGTGGATGGCTGGGTGTGAAGGAAGGGTGGACAGGGAGGGAGGGGGGATGAATGGAAGACTGATGGTTGGATGGGTGGGTGGGTGGGTGGGAGGGAGAGAGGGAAGGATGGAGGGAACGGAAGACAGAATGGACAGATGGATGGATGGTTGTGAGGGAGGGACAGAGGGAGAAAGAAGAAGGAAGGGAGGGAAGACTGGATGTATGGACAGACAAATGGAGGGAGGACTGATGGATAGATGGCTAGATGGCTGGAGGGAGGGGAAAGGAGGGAGGGGGAAAGGGCTGGTGAAGAGGGGCACGAGACAGGCAGCCGGCCAGCCGGGCCAGTAGCAGCCACAGCCGCGGCAGGTGCCGAGAGCAGACCCCCGGCGCGTGGAGGCCGCACCCACCTGATGCCAGTAAGCGGACCCCCGGTTCAGCTCCATCTCCTCCTGCATCCACTCCAGGTTAGTCTCCAGGAAGCTCTTGAGCCGCTCGCAGTAACCAACTTCGTACTCGAAGGGGCCACAGTAATTCACCACCGTGTTCATCCAGTGCATATAGATGAGCTGTGGGGCAGGCAAGGTGGGCGAGGGCAGGTACAGGGGGGCCGGGCTGCCAGCCTTGCCAAGGACCCCGCTGATTCCCCACTCGGGCTCAGACTCCTCAACCTCAGCCAGGCCTCTGAGAACCACAGTGCCCTGGTGAGGCCTTTGCTCACGCGGGTTCTCTTCCCCCCGGGGCCCCTCTCAACCATCCCACTCTTGTCCCATCAGGGCCCAAAGCTTCTGGATGTCCCCCTCTCTTGAGAGACTTTAGTATTCCAAGTCTGTTCTAGACAAGGGCTCCTCGGCTACCGGAGACCCCCAAGCTACAGATGTATTTGGTCAGTCAACGAAGTACGACTTTCGCACCCCTACCACGTCCTGTCCTAAGCCCCGAGGACACGGCAGGGAACTCACAATGGACACGTGTGCAAGTGAATGCCAGACTGGTTCACTCTCAAGAGGCCTGATGTCACATGAACAAGCCTCAAGCTCTCAAGAGGCCTGATGTCACGTGAACAAGCCTGGGCTGGCCTGCTGGCAGGTTCAAGACCATGTCGGCCCCGTCTCCCCCATCACTCCCGTCACCCCGGCTGATAGAGAGCCAACCCCCAGACGCATGAAGGAGACCATTCTAAGCCACTCAGCTGCCCCCCCGCCCCGAACCGCCAGCTGACCGCAGAAGCACGGGTGAGCCCAGCTGAGGTCAGCCAGGCCTAGCCCGGAATCCCAAATCCACCCAGCTGGCATTCCAGCAGGGGGAGGGACGTCCCCTATATTGTGGCACTACAGGGAAGGGGTCCATGCCCGGAGTTCACAGGAATGGCACTCTGTATGAACAGACCCATGCCAACCTCACGGCAACTCTGGAAGGAAAGTGCTATCCCCACCATCCCCGCTTTATAGCTGAAGACATCGAGGCACAGGCAGGTGACTAACTTACCCAAGGTCCTCCAGACAATGAATCAGAGTCAAGATCTGAACCCTGGAAATGTGCGGATTTGTAATTTCCCAAAGCACAGACCTCACGGGGCCAAGGCTGGCGGGTTAACTTCCAGCCACACCCCTCACCACACTGGAAATATTCCCAAGACACACAGGCCAGTGAGGGGATGGTGGCAGCGCCCGGTACCCCAAGACTGATCGCTTAGGGACCCCTCTGCTCCACTGCCAACTCCCTGAAACACATCCAAATTCTCCTCTGCCCTCGAGGCCTCAAAGAGATGCCACCTCCTCCGTGCAGCTTTCCAGTACTTCCAGAAGCATTTCCCAAATGCCTGTCCTCTATCAGGCTCTGGCCCGAGTACAGGGGTCACAGCTGGGGACAGGAAACAATCACCACACACAAGAAGCTCCCAGGCCAGTGGGGCTGGGCGGGGGGGGGGGTGGTGGTGGTGAGCGGTAGCGGGTGGCTGAGCAAAATGCCTAGAAACAGAGACTCTGGTCAGACAGAGCTGGGCTTGAATGCTGGCCCCTCCGCTCACTGGCTGTGTGACCCTGGGTAAGTAATTTCAGCTCTCTGGGCCTCACTGGGCTGGTCACGCCTCTCTCGGTAGGTCGGGGAGGCCAGTGTGAGGGCTGAGGGAGAGAACATGGGCCAGGCTCCTGGTACGTATGTCCAGGATTTATCACAGGAGAGCCCCTGGGGCCTTGCTTCAGTTCCTGGCAGGCTAGGGGCCCCTCAAGAGACAGACTCCTGCCTCATTCACTACACCCCAAGCAGCACCTGCCAGGCCCAGCGTCTGAGCAGCTCCCCAGACATGAAGGTCCCAAGTGGATACCCAGGTCCCTGCCGGCTGTCAGAATGAGAAGTGTGAGTTTCACCACAGGGTGTCCCCTGTGCGCAGTCATCTGTCACCTGCTCTTTCCCGCTCAGCAGCCAGCCTGTGGGAGGCGTCTGTATTGCCGAATCCTTCCCAAAGATCCATCACATGGTGCTCGGTGGCCCTAGGGCACGTGCAGGCTCAAGGCCACCACTGCCAAATGACCTTTCCAAGTGGTTGTCACACCTCTACCCACACACTGCCGGGGACTGGCTGTCACTGTGACCTCTCACCCACTTCTGATACGGGCCACCTTCTGAAATCGAGACTTGCACTTTTCTAAAGCCCCAGATGGAGTACAGCAGAATGGTATGTTGCCTGAGGATTCAGCACACGTGGTAAAACCAGTTTAACGAAAGTAAGAGTGGAAATAATCCAAGAGTCTGCCCACGGATGCATGGATAAATGAAATGTGGTCCGTCCATACGAGACAGTATTACTGGGCCACAAAAAAAAGGACTGACATAGTCCAGAATGGGGATGAAGCTGGAAAACTCGATGTTGAGGAAAAGAAGCCCGATACACAAGACCACCCACTCACATGAAATGTCAAGAATCAGCAAACCCGTGGAGACGGAAGGTAGGTTAATGGTTGCCAGGGGCTGGGGTGAGGGAGAGAGGGGAGGTATGGGTGTGGGGTTTCTTTCTAGGGCGGTGAGAACGTTCTGGAATTGGGTATTGGAGATGGTTGGGCAACCCTGTGAATACACTAAAAACCACTGAATTGTGCATTTTCAAATAGTGAGTTTTATGGCATGTGAATTATATCTCAATATAAATGAAAGAATGAACGGACATTTAGGGGGATGGTGCCTCTGGGGGCAGGGGTTGGGAAGGGGGGGCTCAGAGGGATGAGTAATATTGCACGTTTCAGTCTGTATGTTTGTTTCACTACTGGGCTTCATGATTTCATATGCATCAAACAGTGCCTAGCCTAAGTTTTTAGGGAATGCACGTGAGCTCTTATTGCCCAACGACATGGAGGGTGGGAACAGCCCCCCCACCCCGCCCCACCGCACACATCTCATCTCAGGACCCTTCCAAGCTTCTGGGGGTGCGCGCCAGGTGGGGTGGGAGGCGGGAGCCTCAGGCTCCCCCATCTGGCCCTTACCTCCTCAGACACGGCGGCCTCCACCACGCCCGCAGCGTAGGCCTGCAGGCTGTCATTGTAGCGGCCGTTCGTGCGCAGCTCCAGAAAGGCCCACCTAGACAGAGAGGGGAGCGGACACCAGTCAGCCCGGGGGGCACGCGCGCAGCCAGCCCTAGTCTGGGCACACGGCCATCTCCAGTGTTAAACCATAAAAGACGCAGTGAGGAACGGCCATTTACGTGAATGGCCGTCTGTCTGTCTTTGTGCACATGTCAGGGGAAATCTCTCAAAGGGGTGATGCTTTGTCAAAGGGCACAGGTATTTCTAACTTTATAAGCACTAACAAACAGCCGCCAGCCCAGAACTGTTCTAATCCACGTCCCAGCCCCCACCATCACACCAGTCAGGGTCAACCGAGGGCTTCCTCTGGGCCAGATGGCATTCTAGCCACTTCTTATCCACGGACTCACTCAATCCTCACGACAACCCCATGATTCTACCAGGCAGGCACTGCTGTTCCCCGAAGCACAGAAGAGGAGGAGATGAAGGCACAGGGCTTCACAACCGAGGAAGCCCACGCTGCTGCCCTCCTCCTGTCCAGGCCCTCTGCCGTGTGGCCTTGCGGTCCCTTCTACCCACGGCCAAGTCCTTCCCCGCCCCACCGATCTGGACTCGGTCATCCGGCTTGCTTTCCAATGGAAGGCAATGCCCGTGTGCCAGGTAGAACACTAGCCTTTGAGAAGCCTCCTTTGTTTCCGCTTGCCCTGCTATGCCTCTGCCACCTCCAGGAGAACACGCCCCGGCCAGCCCGCTGCTCTCAGGGACAAGAGAGAAACACGGAGCAGACCCATGGCATGAAGCAGAGCTGCCCTGGTGCCCCCCGGATCCTTCAATAACCCTTGGTTATTTGCGAAGCCAGCAGGTTTGGTGGGTGGTTCGTTCCAAGGCACTGGTGCCCGACATGAGCTGATACATTTGCCGAAGCTTACAGAGCTGGCAAAGGGCAGGGCCGGGGTTCAATTCCAGGCTCCTGCTCCCTCTGGGAAGCAGCACTTTCCAAACTCAGACGTGTAGCCGTGTCACCTGAAGACCTGATTCAGAAGCAGACTCGGATCGGGATCTGGGACAGGGCCCGAGACCCTGGATTTCTAACTAGCAGCCAGGTGAGGCCAACACTATCAGCCCACTCCCACGCTGGGCTGTGGGCTACCCCGCCACAACGTACCCGCTCCTGTCTGCCCACTCCCTTGCTTGAAATGATTCCTACCGATCTTTCTCATCTTTGCCAAGGCAACGGTGGAAAAACGCAAACGCAATCGTGTTGTTTTAATTATAATCCTTTAATTACTTCAATTACACTTGTTTTAATTTTTTAAATTTAATTAATTAATTAATTTTGAAAGTAGGCTCCAGACCCAGCGCGGACCTTGAACTCACAACCCTGAGATTAAGACCTGGGCTGAGATCAAGAGTCAGACTCTTGTCTGACTGAGCTACCCAGGCGCCCCTACACTTGCTTTTGAATTTTTATAGGTCATTTATAGTTCTTTGGTTCAAGTGCCTGAGTCACTTTTCTCCATTGTGTTTATCTTTTCTTATTGATTTGTGAAGTTCTCTATGTATACATTAGCCCTTTGCTTGTCACTAATATTGAAAATATGTTTGTGTTTTAATTGACTTAATTGATTTTTCTGCTTTTGCTTTTACCCTACAGAGGTTTTGGGGGGGTTTTGTGCGGCCAAGCCTATCCATCCTTTCCTTTATGTTTCCGGATTTCATTCTTGCTCCTAGGACACAAAACTATTCGCCAGGTGGCTTCTGTAACTAGGGACAAACATTTGTTAAGGCAATTTCCACGAAGAAAACCAGGGGCACCAAGAAGAGTCTCCAAACCAAAGCAGAGCCAGGATCTGCCAAGAGCTCCAGGGCGAGAACGGCTGTGGCCTGGGGAGGACTCTGGAGAGGAAAAGACGGTCAAAACACGCTCACCTGATACTTTCGTCAAGCAAGCCATTTTGAGAGCCTACCGGGTGCCAGACATGGAGGGCAGCGCGCGCCACAGTGAATGGCATTCAGGCCTGGCCTTCCCAAGGCTAATGCAGGGGTGACGGGTGGCTGAGGGGAGGGGCGCTGGCATGCAAGCAGGTAATGACATAGCAGGGCAACGGCTGTGATGAGAAAGAGGTACCATGTGCTGACAAGATGTCAGAGAAAACATTAAAAAAAGAAGAAAAAAGGATCAGAGAAGGATGAATGGTAGACTCAGGACAACACTGTGTATGAAAGCATTTTACGCAAGCACACGTGCATACCTGTGCTTACACATACCTATGCACATTTAGGCCTATTTATGCACAGAAAGTTCTGGAAGAAAGAGCTAACAGTGGTTATATATGGGAGGACTTATCTCATACATCCTGTCTCACTTTTCTAAACTGCTGGGATTTTTTTTTTTTTAACCACGAAAGGTTAATTATTTGTCTAACAATCACCACCCACCCCCGTATCTCCTTGTGCGCTGCCTTGTTCCAGAGGGCAACCGGGGGGGGGGGTTCCATTTAGATGGGTTTTAGTCACTTGGCCCGAGTCCTCAGAAAACCTAGATAGATGGGTTTCCCCCATCTTTCCAGAACACTTTGAGTGGGGGACGTTCCCATATAAGAGGTTTTGTTCAAGCCACCAGACTTTAGTGCCGGAGCCCGAGGCTGATCTCTGAGGATCCCTCTGTTGCCTCGGGCCAAAGCCTAATCAAATGATTCCTCGATACCTCACGCCCCCATCCCCACCCCCGCAACTCTGCAGGGTTCTCACCATCCCCACCACAGAGATGAGGCAGGCAAAGATAGGAACCTAGATCAGTCTGAGAGTAAACCTAAAACTCTGCTCTATACTATACTTCCTGGCCCTTCCAGCCTCGACCTCCCCATCTGTAAAACAGGGAGGCTCGAACTTGGGCAACGGCCTCTAGAGTCCCTCACTGCTGTGCCAACTGAAAACTTTGCAAAACTCCCCATCCCTGGTCAAAAGAAAACCACTGACAAGTGTTTCTAAAGTTAAATGTACCCATTAGACTGTTCTCTATGAAAGAACATGTCCTTTCTGCTCACTTGATTCTAAAATAGCTGATCTTTTAGGAGAGAAAATTTAACAGAGGTCAATAAATGCAGTTCTGTTTTGTTTTTAATGCACTCACTCAAAAAAAATAAGAAGCTGGCAGCACTGATCTCTTTCTCCAATCTTTTTTTTTTTTTTTTTTTTTTTCTGGAGAGTTTATGGGCCACACTGTGATTTTATGTCACGGGGGCCTAATGCCTGATGACTCCGCTAAAGAGGCCACATTTGAGGAAAACCAGACCACTGCTGTGTGCTGAGCAGGGCGTCACACACCTCCCCCAGTCCCCACACCCTGCTTCGAGGGACAGTGCACCGTGGTCACCCTCGCCTACCTTAATAATCTGTGGCTACCATTCCTCCTCACTCTTGATGGCATTATGTTCACCTTTTCTGACTTCCAAGAACAGACGGATGGTATCTACCAACTTTACTGGACTGGGCTGCTGCTCCTTAGCTGGTGGATTTAAGCGGGTTCCCTGCTTCTTAATAGGGTTATTCCTTCTTATTGGCACTCACTTCCTGCCCCAGCTCCACGGTGACTCATGATTTGTGCCAACCATCTGGCTGGGGAGTCAGGCAGGGCTGAAGGGGTCCAGCCTCCCCAGATCAAGGCTGGAACCAAACACACAGGCCCTGCCTCCTGGGGCACCTCTGATGGCCAAGCACCAAATCCTCAATGTCTCAGGCTTCATGGGGAGTGCTGGTCCAAGGTCAGATACAGCACAAACGAAATAGGACAGACCATGGGGGAAAAGAGGACATGGAATTTATCCTGACAATCCTAGGATCCCCCATGGCAAATTCTGCGGGACAGGAAGAGGAGAGATCCCAAATCCAGGTAAACAGAAGAGTCAAATCCCTGGCCTTCATCCTTTGAAAAATGAGACAGTCACCCACAGTTCAGAGGTTCTGCTGATCGGGGGCCAGGAAACCTCAGGTGTCTTTCTTTCGTCTTATCCCTAAGTTCTAAGAGGTCGATCTTAAGGGTCTCAGTTTCCCTGCTTCCAATATGAAAGCTTCTTTTTTTTTTCTTTAATATTTTATTTATTTGGGAGAGAGTGAGAGAGTGAGCATGAGCAGAGGGGAGGGCCAGAGGGAGACGCAGACTCCCCACTGAGCAGGGAGCCCGATATGACACTTGATCCCAGGACTCTGGGATCAAGACCTCAGCTGAAGGCAGACGCTTAACCCACTGAGCCACCCCAAAATAGGGGTTTCTAATACAGTTCTCTCTACAGCACAGCCCCCAGGGCTAAAGGGGCCAACTGGACAGAAAGGATGCTGGAAACGGGATGTGAGGGCGAGAAGTGTGGAAGAGACCTGGGCTCTCGCCTCAGGCCTCAGTGTCCCTAACTATAAAATGGGGGGCAGAGGACACGTGCTCCTTTCTCTTTCACTCATTCCTTCCTCCAGTAAACAAACACAGGTGCTTTCTGTGATCCCACTGAATTTCCCTTCAAGCCTCACTTTTAGGAGAGGAAACAGGTTCAGAGAGGCAAAGTGATTTGTCCAAGGTCACACAGCAAGGGAGCTGGGCCACAAAGAGCTCTCCATCCAGCACAGTCATCAAGGAAGCCCTCTTTCCACTTCTGTTTTCCATAATTCAGAGCAACACAGCCCCGTAGGGGCCTCCAATAGGACAAGGCCCCCTCCCCAAGCTGGACCTCACCTCTGTGCCTCCTTCCTAGCTATCGTGGAAGCAGAGATTTGTCATGCCCTCTTGGCTTTGCTAAGCAGGGCCAAAAACACGTGTGAGTCAGCAGAGAATGGGTCACCAGATTTCAGAGCCACAGAGCCACAGAGCTCTAGCTCCCCCCACAAATAGTAACTAGCAGACTCTGGCCTCCTCTTCCCAGGAGCCTTCCCAGATTAGCCCCACCCAGCTCCTACGTCTGCCGCAAATCCCTTCTTCATAATCTTCCCTCTGTCTATCTGATACTCTCCCCAGTGCCACAAAGCATCAAAATGGGGATGTGTCCCGTATTTCTCCAACACCTGCAGGAATTAATGCATGCCAGCAAAATGGATGGGTGGAAGAGGGGGAACTTAGGGTACACTAAAATCCCCAGCATAGCCTTAATCCACGGCCTGAGCCCTACTGACAAGGCTTTAAGGTGGATTTTCCCCACTACCACTGACTCAGGTTACCCTTTCTGGCACTCTCTGTCTCCCCTTCTGAATGAAGACCCATCTTGCTCAGCTCTGTGTCCCCAAGGCCAAGTACATCAGGTGAGTGAATGAATGAATGAATGGGCACAGGCCTTGGTACAGGGCCTGAGAAGGGTACCACCCAACCTCCCTGCCAGAGCATATCCTCAAAATGGGAGCCACAGACAAGGAAATGGGAGCCCACACAGGCAGCGGGGGGCGGTTAGAACAACAGCTAATCATGACTACCAAGGACGGAGCACTTGGCTGGTACTGTCTCAGAGAGCAACTTTCCCCTGCACCAGGAGGGAGGAGAGAAAGAAGGAGCAGAGCCCCAGCAAAAATACTATCTGGGTCTACATAAATTTAAAGATCCTGGGTTTTCATACTGGCCTAGAATCCAGGCTCAGTCTTGCTGCCCTAGTTCTGGAACAGAGGCAAGAGGAAGGCACCCACGGGGTAAGCCACCGTCAAGGAAGTGAGAGTTTCTCCCTTGAAGAGCTATCACAAGCCTTCTGGCCCAGAGGCGGGGTGGGGATGGCGGGGGTGGGGGTGCCGTGCTCCGCGGACCTGATCCAGATGGAGGCACTAGGGCCTGGGTGGCAGGGATCTAGTCTCTAGTGTAACCGAGGTACTGTCACCCTTAACTAGCTGAAGGCGAGGGGCTGATCCCCACGAGCTGAGGGGATACTGCATTAGCCCCGACCCAACCAGGGACCTGGTCCAGGGGACTGTGCTGCAGCCTAAGAGGCGGGGAAACTGACCCCCAGGGAGCGAGGAGCACTGCCCTAGGGGCAGGCGAGGCCCCGCGCCCGTGCAACCCCCACCCCCAGCTGGTCCCGCGCGAGGTCAGGCCAACCCTTACCCGGTCTCGCGAATGGCGTTGGTGAGGTTGGCCCAGGCCACGGCATCCGGGTGGCGGCCATCCACCAGTCGGAGCTGGCCGGTCTCGGCGTCCAGGAGCACCGAGCGGCTGCGGGAGTCGGGAGGGACCGGCCCCTTGGGCCCCCACTGGCGTCCCGAGATCGGGATCGCGCCCGTCAGGCCGCTCAGGAACAGCCCGACCAGCAGGGCCAGCACCAGGGCCAGCGCCAGTGCCCGCGTCAGCGCCCGGGCCAGCCGGCCGCCTGGGGAGCCGTACATCGGGGCCACCATGACGGCGCGGAGCGGGGCGCCGCAGCCCGGCTCACGTGACTTGACTCCGCTGTGGAGGGCGGGGCCAGAGCTGACTGGGGAGAGGGCGAGGAGAGGCGGAGGGCGGGGCTTGAAGGAGCCCTTCCGGGGTGGGCGGGGACTATCTTAAAGGGCCCCCGACGCCTCCGTCAGCCTCCGCAAACTCTGCTTAACAGGCTTTACCCCCAGCTGTTTATTTTTCAAATTGTCAAACTTTGAGAAAAATTGCAACCGTGGTAAATACCCGTGTGCTTCCCATCAATTGCTAATAATTTGCTACATTTACTTAATTGCTCCAGGATCCACTCTTCACACCATACACAAATAGAAACTCCTGAATGATGGGCATCTAAATGTAAAAAACAGAACTGCATATATAGAAGAAAATACGGGAGAATTCCTCCACAACTTGTATGTGAAAAAAGTCCTCTAACTATGACTTAAAATTCAGATGTAATAAAAGATATATACAATTGACTATATAAAGTGTTCTGTAACTTATATGCGGAAAACACCATAAGCAAAGTCAAAATATAACTGACAAACCAGAAGAAAATATTAACAACATATATCATAGATAAAAGGCTAATATCATTAATATATGAAGAATTCCTTAAATTTGAGGGGGGATGTGAAAACCAGATAGAAAAATGGACAAAAAATATGAACAGACAATTCATGAAAAAATGATCGAAAAATAATCCTTAAACTTAGAAAAAATGCTCACTTCGTTGACCATAAGAGAAACGCAAATTATAGCTACATTGAGAATGAAATTTCATAGAAATACACACCAGAAGTTTTGAGTGTATGTGAAACTGGTGAGATTGGAATGAGGTCTGTAATTCAGTTAAAAGTGAGGGGTTATTGTCAATGTCCTGATTGTGGTCATTATATTTTGGTTACGTGGGATGTTATCTTTGGGAGAAGCTGGATAGACTGCACAGAAAGTGTACTACTTTTAAAAGAAATGACTTCTCAGCCGTCAGTTTAGAAAAAATTAAGAAGCTTGACAACATACTCTCTTGATGACCCTGGGGAAATGGACATAGGTACATGGCTGGTAGGGGTGCTAAATGGAGGGGAGATAGGTAGTGTCTTTTAAAAAACTTCACATGGATTTACCTTCTGATCTAGCAATCCCACCTAAATATTTACACATAACATTGTTCACCACAGCACTGTTTGTAATTTTGAAATACTGGAAACACCAAAATGCCCATATGTAGGAAATTCATTGAGGAAGTGATCAACCCCACAATGGAGTACTATATAGCTGTAGAAAGAAAGAAAGAAAGAAAGAAAGAAAGAAAGAAAGAAAGAAAAAGGAAGTTTTCTATAAACTGGATTGGAGTGATTACTAAGACATAATGTTCACTGAAAAAAGCAAAGTGCAAAAAAGTATATATAGTACACTTTATTTTGTGTAAAAAATGAAAGGGAGATACAATGTACTTAAATCTTCTAATTTTTTCAAAGGAAACACAGGTTGGATAAAGCCAAAACTAATGAAATTAGTTCCCCCAAGGAGGTGGGTGAGAATGTCCTGGGAGGGTTAGGACAGAGAATGATGTGTCTATAAGGATATCTTGTTGTAGTTTCCTTTTTTTAAATTCCAGTATCATTAACCTACAGTGTTCTCTTTTTGTACAGTTTTGACTTTTGGAAATGTGTTGATATTTTGCATAGTTAAAAAAATTCGAATCAACAGTTTGGGGAAATCCATAAAAAGGAATGCAAGCAGAGACAAACAAACTTGACTGATTTCAAATAAGTCACAGACCCACACTGAACAAATCTTAAAATCTATGTCATAAGTTTGTTTTTCCAAAGTGGTATTCTGAAACTTCTCTGTGTAGTGTGGGATTCAGCAAATGAATAAATGTAATGCTGATTTGGGATCCAGGTTTGTTCCTCAGATAAATACAGATATTGGAGAGCTAGAAACCTTGGAAGGTTATTGTGGCAGTGGGCTGTTTTGGAAATATCAGGGTGAACTCGTGGTTTTTCAGATTTAGACAGAGAAATCTACATACACAGTCCCTTGCTCTGTCCAATTAAGAAGCCACAGGGGCAGTGAGACCCCAGCGGTAAGAAGCACACCTCGTGCCCAAATCCGCCAAAAGGAGTCGGGACTCCACAGAGAAAAAGCTAACTTCGGGGCTGACCCAAGGAGAGTATAAGATCAGCCTGGAACGTCTTGTGCCCAAAACCACGGAGCTACTCAAAGAAGGTTGGAATAATGTCCTAAGGGCAGGAGCCCACTTGCCGAGGCTCCCATTGGTTAAAACCAGGACAATTGGAACATAATAATAGGGATGGAATTAAATAAAATCCATGAGGCTGAACTAAGAAACACTGGCACCTTGACCTTGGTCTTCCCAGCCTTCTGAAACCGCGAGTTAACAAATGTGTATTGGATAAGCCCTAAGCCATGACGTTGCAGCTGGAGTTGACTAATACACTGAGTCACGTGTTAGTTCTATACGTAGCATTTTGAGGAATCGCCAACCCGTTTTCCAGAGCAGCGGCACTGTTGTACATTCTCACCACTGCTGCAGGGTTCCATTTTCTCCACATCTTCTCCAACACTTGCTATTATCTGTCTTTGGAAGCCATAGCCATCCTTCGGGGTGTGAAGAAGTATCTCAGGGTGTTGATTCCCATTTCCTTAATGATGAGTGATATGCTTCTAGGCCCTTTGTATGTCTATTCCAAGAAAAGTTCATCAGATACCTTGCCTAGTTTTTAATACATTATTTGCCTTTTCATTATTGAGTTGTAAGTGTTTTTATACAGGTGCTAAACCCAAGTCCTTTATCAGATAGAAGATTTGCAAAACTTTTCTCCACAAGGGAGTTTGGAGCAGAGTGAGACATGATCTGATTTAGTATTTTGACAGGGTTCCTTTGTTTTGATTGGACAGGGAGAGGGTTTGAAAGGATCAGTTGAAGGTGGGTTGGTGGACAGTGAACTTTGGGAACCATGGGGAGCTGTAGATGGTGTTTGAGCTGGGGAGTGATGGCAGTGAGGAAGGCAGAGGCTTGGGGGAGATTAGCCAGGAGGCAGTAAGTGGTCACAGTCCTGATGTGGGAAGCAGGCTGCTCTGAGACTTCCTGGCCTTGCCAGCAGAGGAAGGAGGCCAGTGAAGAAGGGGAGAAGGTGGCACAAGGTCACAGAATGGTCCTTGATTTGCCCCAAAATAACTTTCTAAAGCTTCCAGGGTGCCCTTCCCCTACTCTGCCTACCTGTGGTGAGTTGGACCCTAGGGGGCACTCCAGCTCCCTTCGCATCCCTGGAAAGGAAGGAATCACTCCATTGGCACTATCTGTCATCACTATCATGTATTAATCATAACCTGTGAACACTTCCTGTTACCGAATCCTCACAACTACCCGAGAAGTCCCCACTATTACTATTCCTTTTTTTTTTTCAAGATTATTTATTTATTTGACAGAGGGAGAGAGGGATCACAAGTAGGCAGAGAGGCAGACAGAGAGAGGGGGGAAGCAGGCTCCCTGCTCAGCAGAGAGCCTGATGCAGGGCTCGATTCCAGGAGCCTGGGATCATGACCTGAACCGGAGGCAGAGGCTTAACCCACTGAGCCACACAGGCGCCCCACTGTTACTATACCTATTTTACAAATGGAGAAACTGAGATTCTAGCAGGGAAAATGACTTGCCCAGGTCACCAACTAGGAAATGTACCAACAGGGCTTTGAATTCAGCTCTGGGACGCTGTGGACGCGGCCCCATGGTGCCCACCACCAGAGGGCGCCCTCCACCGATTCCCCACCGGTTCAGGTTTGATACCAACCATTTCCTGCCTCCCTCCAAATGGCGGTGTGGGGGCCCTGGCTGGAGACAGTTGGGCCCTGCGTCCCCACACCAACCCTCGTTCGCCAGTTGGTGGTCCTGGCTAAAGTGACATCCCCATTCTGTGCCTCGGTTTGGCCAGCTCTAAAAAAAATCCCAGAACAGGACCTACCTAGTAGGGCTCCCAGGGTTACAGAAGAGCTGAAAATTAGTGGCGCTCATCGCTGCTGCTCCTCAGCCCTGGTGACTTCTAAGTATACCGTACTTGTCTAAATCTGCTCCACTGAGAATTCTGTGGAACACATCCCACGGACATTTAGTCCAGGTGACCACTGTGGACAGACCAACTGGAAACAAGGGCAATAGTGTTCTCATTGGCCAGTGTGTGGTCATGGTCAGGAGCATGGAGTTGGGGATTCAGACAGACTCAGGTTCAAATCCCAGCTCTGTCATTTGCTGGCTGTGTGATCTTAAGAAAGTGACCTGACCTCGCTGAGCCCAACTGAAAGGAGGATAATAGTCATATCGGCTTGGCCAGAAGTTTGTGTGTCATCCTGGGCACTACAAAAGCCTGGAAGGACCCTCTCCCATCCTACCTCCTAATGCCACCTCCCTGAGCCACCCAGAAGGGGCAGACCTCATGTCTCAGGATCCTGGCCTGCCCCCCACACCCTGGCCCCTATTCAGTTGCTCATCTTAGCATATCCAGTTTTGAGGTCCCCACCATCCAAGGCAGCCATTCATGCCAGGAACACAGGACTCCCCATCCAGAGAGGATACCGGTCAGGCTCAGTGATGGCACAGTCCGTGTTAGGCAAACCCCTGCTGTGACAGCTGTGTCCCAGCCTGGCCTTTTGAGCCTTCCGATGGGTCATGTGACCCCCTGTGACTACTGCTGGTCACCTCAGGTGTGCGCCATGTTCCTGTAGACTCGACCCCTGATAACAACATCCGACATCCCCCAGCTGAGTGCTTGCGAATTCCAAGCGTCTGATGTTCACCTAGTCCTTCAATCTTGGCAACAAGCCTAAGAGATCCAAGAGCCCTGAACCCCATTTGAAAGGTAGAGACCCAGCGTCCCAGAGGAGAGATAACTTCCCCCAGGGACAAACTCAAGTAAGCAGGGTACCCGAGTCTGGCTGATTCAAGATGTACTTCTTACCCACAACATATTGGGGGATCCCAAAATGAGCAGAGCTCTCACACACAGAGTCTCCCCAAAACGGATTGAACAATGCCGTTTCTTACTGGTAACAAGGACAAGAGCCCCACAGAAAAAATATTCCAAAGACGTGAGCCAGCAGTTCATGAAAAGAAAATGCAGGTAGCCACAGCCTCTGAAAATGTGCCAGCCTTGCCCACAGAAAAAATACAAATTAAAGCAATGGCGAGAAAATAAATTCCCCCCCACCCCCTATTGGACTGGCAAGGGTTAATAATATCGTCAAAAATCAGTGCTGGTGGGCGTGCAGGGAATGCACTTCCCTGACCCCTGACATTGCTGGTGGGACTGTGGGAAGTATCTGCTGGAGCCTTTTAACATTTAAAATATCCATGCCCAGGGCGCCTGGGTGGCTCAGTGGGTTAAGCCTCTGCCTTGGGCTCGGGTCATGATCTCTGGGTCCTGGGATCAGCCCTACATCGGGCTCTCTGCTCAGCGGGGAGCCTGCTTCCCCCTCTCTCTCTGCCTGCTGCTCTACCTACTTGTGATCTCTGTCTGTCAAATAAATAAATAAATCTTAAAAAAAAAAACAAAAACGCACACCGTGACTCTTTTCCCACCTTGCTCCTTGCCCTGGCCCAAGCAATCCCACTTCCTGGTTTACACCGATGAAGGTCATAGCTATGTGTCAGCTCAGCTGGGCTATAGTCCCTGGTTGTTCCATCAAGCATTTGAGCTACTGGTGGCCATGAAGGACTTTTGTAGATGTGATTAAAGTCCATAATCTGTTGATTTCAAGCAAATGAGACTATCCTGGATCACCTGGGTAGTTCTGAACCTATCTGTTAAAAGGCTTTAAGAGCAGAGCTGACACTTCCCCCAAAGAAGAAATTTTACTTGTGATGGCTCATGCCCAAGACTTTTCTGCCAGCCTGCCCTCTGGATTTTGGACTCGCCCAACCAGCCACCCCCCCCCCACCCCGCTGCCAGTCTTATAAATCCGCTCCTTACAGATCATCTCTGAATTTCGATCTTCTTCTGATTGTCCTACTGGTTGAGCGCTGGCTGACACCACTGTCACCAGACTGTTAGGGGGCTTCTAACTGTCGCACAGCTGTAGAGATGGCTGTCCTGAACACTTGTGCGTAAGGCATGGCTCACATCTTCTCTTCTTCACTTCAGAAAAGCTCCGGAGCAAAGGCACGTGTGTTTTTGTGGCTCCTAAGATGGACAGCTATCAATTACCAACTCACTTTCTACAAGGATTATTCCAATGGGGGACTCCCCCTGGCAATGTCAATGAAGGCACTTTCTCTGGAAATTGGGCTGCTGTGAGAGGTAGTGAGTACCCCGTCCCTAGGGGGAGGGGGTTAAGTAGGTATGATGTGACCATTTGCTCACTCCTAGGGCAGCTAGGCTCAAAAGGGAACTAGGACTGTTTGCAGGTAAGACTCAGGCATCCTGAAGGAACTTTCCAAGTTTCTGGACCTCTTTGATTAAGACTGAAATTTCTGGTTCCCTGGTTCCTCTTTGATGTACCCCTTCAAGCCTTACCACTTCTGCTCAGGTTCCAGAGGAACTTGCATTATTCTGGGGTGCTGGGTGTTGGGCAGAGCTGGCCTTACCTTTGAGTGACGCAGGACGCTAGGTCCAGGGTGATAAAGGGGACTCACTTGAGGTCACACAGACACAGGTGCAAATCCCATCTCTGCCACTTTCCAGTGGGTGCCTTGGGGCCGGGACATTTATTTCCTGAACCTCAATTTCCCTGTTCTTGGAAATGGGGATTACTGTAGTCCTCACCCCATGGGCTGTTAGATGGGACAAGCATGTGAACACTCGCTACAAATGTAAGTCTTCAATAGACAGTCCTTATTTATTTTTATTTGTTTGGCGTTTATTCGTAAGATGCTGAGGACAGGACCAGCCTGCGCGTGATGCTATAGGCAGCTGTCCACCCGGTGGGATTTGAGGGTCCTTTCTGCTCCTACCTCCAAAGTATAACTCCCCTCTTCTGCTATGCTGGCCACCTCCATATGCACCATTAGTCACCTCTGTGGAGTAAAACAGGCTGGCACATAGCACTTTCCAGATATGGTCACATCGAGAGCTCACACATCACACACTCTTCCTATGGCATGACTTAAACGTATCTCCCCCTGAGAGATGGGGTCTGTTTCCTCTCCTTGAATCTGGGTGGACCTTCGCCTATGGTGTGACACACTGTCACTTCCACAACCAAGTCCTAAAAGGCAATGTGGCCACTGGCCCGTCCCTTGGAACCTCACCCACATAGTCTGAGCTGCCCCTGCCTTTGGCCGTGCCATCTGGGAAGTCCGGCTGCCTGCAGCCGCCCTGCTCCAAGAAAGCCCAGAGACCAGCTCATGCAGAGAAACCCCACGCAGACGCCCCAAGACCCCATGTAGAAAGAGGAACATCTGTCCAGGCAGCCCCTAGTCGCCCCAGCCCAGCTACTGCTGGACTGCAAGTGTGTAAGAACCCACTCCAGGGCCACCCAGCAGAGCCCTTCCTGAATTCTTGACTGGTGGAAGCCTGAAATCCTTTATTTACAACCAACATTTCCACCTACTGTGTGTCAGACTGTGTGGCAGGTCCTTCTACCCTTGGCAGTAATAACAATGGTGATAATAATTCCAGTATCTTCTGTGTACCCAGCTTTTGCAAGAACTGGGCAGCGGGCTGTGGGGTTTGTGTGTATGATCTCAGTGCATCCTGACTACAGTCCTGTGAGTGCCCTGCAGGTGCTGTCCTTAACCCCATTTCCCAGATGAGGACACTGAGAGTCAAAAAAATTAAATGACTTTTCCAAGGTCAGGTAGCCAGGAAGTGGCAGAGTTAGGATCTGAACCTGGATTGGGTGACTTCTGAGGTCTTTCTATGATGACTGTAATGTCAAAATGGCCTTTCCCAGACTGGGAAATTGACCGTAACCCAGAACATGGCCCACCAGAGCAAGGGGAGGTGGGGGCTGTGTCCCAGGCAACGTTTGTCTCCCCTCTCTGTCCCCATGATTCTTTTCCTCCCTTGACTCCTTCCTGGGATCTCCCAACACACGTTCATCACCCCCTCTACCCCCCAACTGCCCTAGGACACAAGGAGATAGTGATCTGCTCGTCCAGCTGAACTAGGATGGTGACACTGAATTCTTATACTGGCTGGGCCACTGAGTACCAGTCAGGACCCCTCAGGGAAGGACTTTGGCTCCAAACTCAGGAAGTTCGGAGCTACTTCCCAAAGCAGTGGGCGGCCTGGGGAGCAGCTGGCGGACCCCAGAGCGGGCTCAGTCATTGCGGCGCACAGCTGCGGGCACCCTGTGCTCACTGCCTGTACAGGCGTGCAAGTGAACTTGGCTTTCGCCCTGCTCTGATGGGCTCCCCGCTGATGGGGTATCAGTCATGCGGGTTCCCATATTACAGAATGCATGGAATAATGACTGCAACCGTGCCTTCCTTGGAGGGAGTGTTTACTCAGCCACCAGCATGGGGTCCAGGGCTTTACACGCAGTGCTGGATTTCATCCTGCAGGGACCCCACGTGGTAGGTGCTATTATCCCCATTTTTCAGGGAAGGAAAGTGAGGCTCAAACAGTGTGTTTACCAAAGTTTGCACAGAAACCAGATGCTCTGAGATTCCAAACAGAACATGCTCTAGACCACAGTGTCATCTGACCCAGTGTGGGGAACCAGAGGTATGCTCTCTTTGAAGGTAAGGAACCCGGGTACGTGGGGGCGATGGAGGCGTTGGAGGGTGGCGGGGAGGGTGGAGAACCGGCGTTTGAGCTGGGCGGGGGGCCCCAGTAAGAGTTTATCGGGTGGAAAAAGGGAAGTGTGTCCTCCCCGGCGGGGAGCTCAGAAGGAGCAGAGGTGCAGCCCGTGTATGTACGTATGCAGCAGCGTGTTCGGGGAATGGGGAGCCTTCTCCGGCCAGGGCGGGAGGGGGTTGGCGGCGGGGATACCAGATGAAGTCCAAAAGGGGCGCGAGGGCTGGACGCTGAGGGGCAACGCCCGCTGGAGTGGGGCCGTCGCCTGCGGGTGAAGGGGAAGCGGGGCGGCCCCAGAGCTGGGCGGAGGCGTCGGAGGTGCATTTGCGGCAGCACCGGCAGACTGAGGGGCTGCCCCGGAGGGGACGTCAGCCACCCCCTCCGTTCCAGCCGACCGCCCTACCGCCCAGCGCATGGGGAGACGGCGGGAACCCGAACCTCCCCAGAGTCTGGGAATCGGGGAGGCGGGTACGAGTGCAGTACCGACTCCCCTGTCTTGATCTGTTTGCCATATTTTTCTTCTAAAAGCGTTGCTACGGGGCGGAGTGCTGGCCCTAATTAGGAGGTCTCACGAACAGGGGCATTACAGGCAGGACCGCCGGAATATTTGTGGGTGAGGCAGGACCTACCCTCTCCTAGGACTTTCCCAAGCGTCCCCTATCACCGCGGATTCCCAAAGCATCTGGGAATAAAACCCCTAGTTTCATCCTCTAACTGTCCCCTCTCTGGCCTCCTGCCGTCTTTACCCGTCAGGATTTTATCTCAGTTCTGCTTTAGCCGCACGAACCGAACCGAAAGGCTCCGAACTGAAAGAAAGAGGACAGTCCCGGGACCTGGCCGGAGCCTGTGCCTTTAAGGGAGGGGGCGGGGCCAGCCGCCGGGGGCGTGTCACTGGGCAGGGCCAGTGAGGGCAGGGCTGAAGCGGGACCCACCCAGGCCGACTCGGCCTGGAAAGTGCCCGGGACTCTGCCACCCGCTGGGCCCCCGGATCCGCGGCTACGGGTAGAGGGGAAGGTCGGGCAACGTCTGCCGGCGGCGGGGCACCAGGAGGGCCTCGAGGCCCGGCGGGGTCGAGGTTCGGAGTTGGCGGGTCCGAGGCCCCGCCCAAGGTAAGGGGAGTCTCCTCGTCTGCCAGGGCGCCGCCTGAGGGCCGGGCACCCGGACTTCAACTTCTCAACATCCGTCAAGGATTGGGAAACTGCACTTTGACGTTCTCGGGGTCTCGCACCTAGAAAGTGCGACCGCAGATGGGGTTGCAGCCCCAACTTCCTGCGCCCGCCGCTTCCTATCAGGACTGCAGGTCTTCTGAGCTCGGGACAGGCGCACAGGAAGCGCTCAATAAATGCTCCCTTGTGAATAAGTGCAAGAAATCGGCAGCCAGTAGAGAGGAGGCACACCACAGATGCAGGCATTTATTGAGCTCTTACTGTATGCCCCGATGGGCCAGGATTTGTCTCCATTTTGCAGATGCGGAATCAGAAGCTCAGAGAGGTGAAATGACCTCACTGAGGCCGCACAACTCCTAATTTGGGCTGTGACTGAATTGGAAAGCTGGAGTGTCTGGGTCCAAATCCGTGCCAAGTTCCGGGAAACAGCAGGAGGGGAAAGTTAACAGGTGAGAAAAGAGAGCTGGGACAGGCCTTGTCTGCCCCTCCTTTTCCTTTTCTTCCTCTGGAGCCTCCTCCCCCACCCCTGCCCTGTCAGGTCATTGAGAAATAACTGTGCAAAGAATGACAAAAAAAAAAAAAAACGTTTTCTGGACTTTGTTTCTGTTGATGCCAAAATAAAACATGCTCATCTACGACGTGGGGCAGAGCCAAAAGAAGGAAGTCGGTGTGCCAAGGACGTGGGTTTTTTCCCAGTTTGATTTCTTTGGAAGGACTGAAGCCGGTTTTGCCCTGGTGTTGAGGTGAAAAGCAGATGCTAGAATCCAGCTCAGCTCTGCTGCTAACACGCTGTGTGATTTTGAGCAATTCACTTCCCCCTGGGCCTTGACTCTCCCATCGGAGGAGCTGCTGTTGACTTTGTGACTTCCTTGCCTTGTGACTTTGGGCACGTTAGGGGACTCCTCTGAGCCCAGCTCCCTCCTCTGTAAGACAGGCGGAGACAAGGACATCTCCACAGTTGTCCTGAGGACTGGATGAGAGAGGTGAGGCACGGCAGCTGAGTAAGGACACAGACCTGGCCCTGTGCCCAGGTTTGCTCATCTGTAAAATGGAAATAATAATAGTACCTCCCTTTGGCCAGTTGCGGGAATTAAATGAGGTCATCTGTGATAAGTGCTTAGTTCATTGGAAGTCACAGAACAGCATTGCTTAGTTGTCTCAAATTGGTGGCCCAAAGGCCATGTCCACCCCCAGAAGTAGGTTTCTCTTGTTCCGAAGTCTTGCCAAGTCCCCACCGCTGCCCACTTCCTGGATTGATTTCCCACAGCTGATCCCCGAGCTGAAGTCTCTTCTAGAGTCCCAGGATTCCTCGTTCCAGCCCTGATATTCCAGTGTCCGGGTAGGGGTGTGGGTGGGAGAGGCCTGCATCTCCATGGAGACACTCTCGGGGGGCCTTAGGAAGAAGGGCATAACTAATCTGCATACTGAATGAGCGGGGCCCTAGGACCCTCCAAAGAGCCTCCATCCAGAATGAGTTTCTACATTTGGCTTTCTTTTGGTGGGGTTAGCAGGCGGGGCAGTTCTTCAACTGAAAAAATCTTCAGTGCCTTCCTGCTAGGGCCTAGGCTCTTTGGTGACCCGGACCCTCCTTCTCACCTCACTCTCTGCAGGCCACTGGAGCGACGGGCTATTTGGAAGTGAAAGCAGAGAGTGAGGGCCAGGCTCCTCCGGGTCTGATGGCCGGCAGACAGCTGTATCTGTACCCAGTGCTGAGTTTCTTCTGTGTGGGGCTGCTGATGGTGGAGACGGTGTCTGGGACCAGGGGCCCATTTATAGGGGCCCACATCGGCTCCCAGTTTTCAGCCTCAGGTGTGAACCAGACCCCCATGGAAGACGTGAGCATCCAGGTAGGAAGCTGGCATCAGGTAGGGATGTATTCATCCAATCAGCAAATATCTACTGAGCATCTACTATGTGCCAGGCACTGAGCTAAACCCTGGGGTGTATCAGGAAATAGTACAGACAAAAATTCCTGCCCTGGTGGAGCTAACAGTCTTCTAAGAGGACAGGTAGTGGAGCAAACATGTAAATTTCAGGTGGTAAGACGTTAAGTGGTTTGCAAATAACCTCTTCAGGTGGGAGCTGTGACGGGAAGGGCATGTTTCCAAATATTTCAGAGTGGGCGGTCACAGGTGGCTTCTGTGTGGACGTGACCTCTGAGCCAAGCCCTGAATGGAAAAAGTCAGTCGCTTATACAGGCATCTGGAAAAAGAACATTCCAGGGAGAGAACAGCAAGCGCAAAGGCCCTGAGGCAACGACAAGCTTAGTATGTTCTTGGAGCATGGAGGAGGCCAGAATGGCTGGAACAGGGTGAGCGAGGGGGAGAATATTAAGAGATGAGGATGAAGAGGTAGTGGTGGCCAGATTACAGAAGGCCCTATAGGCTGAGGCTAGGAGATGATATTTGTTTATAATAGTTGGGAGCCCCTGGGGAGTTTTAAGCAGAGGGATGTCAAGGCTGATTTATGTCTTCAAAGGAGCTCTCTGGCTTCTCTGGGAAGAATGGATTGAGAGGAGTGAGGGTCACACCAGGGAGACCAGTGGGGGGCTGTTGCATGTATCTAGAAGAGTGGCGGTGGTTGTGGGGGATAGGAAAGGAATGGAGGGTTTTGAGATAAATGTTGGGGGCACAGTGAGTGGAATGTACTGAGGGATTAGAGGGAAGGGCATGGTGGTGGAAGAAAGGAGATTTCTGGAGAGAAAGGGGTGCTGTTGACTTGGATGTTTGGAGGGAGGAGAAATGGGGCACTTTGGTGAGAGGCAGGAAGTCTTCTTCCCATAGGCCATTGAGACAGGCTGCAGGAAATTGAATCATGCCATCCTGATGTCTGTAAGCAGAGGAGAGGTCACAGCGGATCCCAAGTTAAAGACTGAAGGCAGGGGCCTGCTCATGATGACCCCCAGGCATCCATTCCACGTGCAGGGGCTGGAGTTCCCACCCTTCCCCATTCCCAGGAGAATGGAAAAACAAACTTCTCCTTCTCCAACTGAAGGGCTGAGAGTGTTAAGTGCCCAAGCCAACTTCATGGGGCTGCAGAGTACCTTCATGCCTACTTTCTGAGGCTGAACGTGTAATCATGCCCATTTTACAGAAGGGAAAGTGGTTTATGGTTACTGTGGTTATTAAATTCACTGGTGTCTCTCCAAAGAGGGTCATGCTCCCTGGGGGTAGGAAAACCGAGGTAATCTGTGGTTTGTGCCAGATAACCTCTGAGTTACTGAGCACTCAGGCCAGCCCTGTGTCAAGCTCACCAAGTTCTCTCCTAAACCTCCTGAGATGGGTAAAAACATCTCCATACTAGAGATGAGGGTATTAAGGTTTAGGGATGGGAAGCTGGCCAGAGCCAGGAGAGGGTCAGCTACTTCCCTGGGTGTCCTTAGTGACTCGGGGAAGAGGATGAGAAGGGAATGGGGCAGAGGTGAAAAGTCACCCACCCCGGGCACAGAGCAGGACCACTATGACTGTGCCACTTGAGGGCAGAGAGCTGCAAACAGGTGCTTGTGGACCTTGGGGGGAGGGCATGACCCCCTTGGGATGGGGCTGATTTGGGGGACCTGATTTGCAGTCTCACTCTGCTGTCAGGGGGATGGAGACAAGCTGGGGTGGGAGCATCTCCCTGGATCCTCCCTGACCGATCCTGAGGACGGAGAGCTGAGAAGGAGGGCAGACAGGAAGAGGAGGCTACCCCTGCCCACTTGGCTGTTTCCCCAGGAGCTTCAGCTGGTAACTTTCAGGCAGACCTGAGTCTGAAACCATCTAGCAGTGGTGGGCTGTGTGCCCTTGGGCAAGTCACTTTGCTGCTCTGTGCCTCTGTTTTCTAATCTGTTAAGTGGACAGAATCGTACCAACCTTCTGGGTCTGTCATGAAGACTCAGTGAGTTGGTGCCCAGTACAATGTGGGGCAAAACAATTATGAGGACCTACTGTGTGCTCAGCACTGTGCAAGACTTTGGTGGGAGAGGTGGACACGGGACAAGTCTATGATCCTACAAATAACTAGGGATATCAAAACACATAAGTGCTTGGAAGGGAGAGGACCTGGAATGATGAGAGTTTATAACTGGGGGATCCGCCCTAGGCTGGAGGCAGTTAGGGAAGGCTTCCTCGAGGAAGCATCTGGGGAACTAAGGATTGGAGGATGAATGTGGATTCAGGGGGACAAAGAAGGAGTGAGGTAGTGGGACAAAGCGACAGCAGGTACCCTCAATACAGTGGGCTCGATGTCACATTGGCAGAGAGCCACAGGCCAGGGTTGGGCGATGGCCAGGGGCTCAGAATCTGGAAATCTTACCCCCCGTGTGGTGTTGGTGGGAGTTCAGAGAGAGCTAAAGGATCACAGAGCCATGATCTGACAAAGTAGTTTCCTTTGAAATTAGGGTGAAATATACATGACTTAAAATTTACCAACATAACCTGAAATTCTCCCTCATGAACCATTTCTCAAGTGTGCTGTTCTGTGGCATTAGCTCTTTCACGCCGTTGTAGCCATCACCGCCATCCACCTCCAGAACTTTCCCACCTGGCAAAACTGAGGCTCCGTCCCAGTACATAAGAACTCCCCATTTCCTCCTCCCCCATCCCCTGCTTTCTGCTTTCTGTCTCTGTGGATCTGACTAGTCCAGGTCCCTCCTATAAACAGAATTAGTGGGTGTTTGTCTTTTGGTGACTCGCTTATTGCACTAAGCACGATGTTCTCAGTTATGGCTTCCAGAAGGTTCTCCCATGTTGTAGCATGTGTCAGAACTCCCTGCCCTCTGAAGGCTGAATGATGGTCATGGTATGGATGCGCCACCTCTGGTTCATCCATTCACCCGTCGGGGACACTTGCTGCCTCTAGCCCTTCTGGCTGTCGCAAACGGTGCCGCCATGAACGTGGCTGTGCATGTCTTCTCTCTGAGACCTGGCTTTCCGTTCTTTCTGGTTTCAACCCGGAAGCTGATTTACTGGATCATAGACTAATGATATGTTTTCCCACTTTTACTGAGATAGAGTTGACATTCCGCACCGTGGTAAGTGTAAGGTGTCCAGCATGAGGAATTAACGTACATCTATTGGGAAATGATGACAATAAGCCTGTTAACATCCCACCTCTCAGGTTTAAAAAAGAAAGGAAAAATGGTGTTTTCCCTTGTGATGTTCCAACGGTTTTCATACTTACCGGACAGCAGCACTCACCGGTCCCCGTGCTGTGCGTTACCTCCCTGTCCTGGTGACTAACGCTCTTTTTTGATTTTTCGGGAACTACTGTGCTGTTTGGCAAGGCTCTGCACCGTTTCACATTCCCACCAACGGCGCACGAGGGCTCCGATTCCTCCCTATCCCGGCCAATACCTGCTAGTTTCTAGCGCTGTTTGCTTTGTACGGTAGCTATCCTAATGGGTGTGAGCTGGTATTTACAAAGCTTTTAACAGAAAGTTTGAAAAGGGGGAGGGACATTCCTGGCGGAGGACAGTGCTTAAGCACAAGCGTGACATGACAAAGGACAAATATCCATTATATAGAGAACGTCTCCAAGTCAATAAGAAGAAGCAAACATTCCAGCTGAGCAAAGGGGCAGCTCGAAGAAGGAATACAAATGACCACGAGATGGGCACTGACAGATAATCAGGGACTTGCAATTGAGCGGCAAGATTCCTACCACATCAGCCCGCACAAGACTTGGGGGGCAGGCACAGGTGTGGAATCCCATTTGCCGGGGCTGGTGCCAGTGTGTACAAGTAAGGCTTGGGGGAGCGTATTTTGGCAAAACCCATCAAGTGTCTAAGTGCAAGAAGTGCCGTGAGGGCCCTGCCCGTGTCCTTCGTACACTGCCCTTTGGGAGGGCTTCTGTTGACTTCTAGTGGCAAGCATCTTTTTCCAGAACCGCCCATAAACACGGGAGGTGGGTAGTGCTGGGGAACTAGCACCTCCCCACCCCCGACCCCCACCAGCATCCTCTCCTGATGTCTCATAGGAGTTGGTGTATAAATACTGCAGCTCCCTTGCCCCTGGGATTACCAGCCCAATGTGGACAGTCCCAGCCTGGCCTCTGGCCTCTTTGGTTTCTTTCCCCTCCTTCTCCTGCTGCCCCACTGTGGCGACTGCATTCCATACACTTCCCAAGTACATACTTACTCCCTCGTAAATCCTTGTCTTCCGGTTGCTTCTGGAGGAACCCAGTCTCTGATGCACTCTGACTCAGCACTTTTACTTCTCGAATTCTCTCTTTTCAAAATATTCTCATATGTACTCAGAGAGTCCCGTGCAAGGATGTTTATTGCTGGCTCTCCTGAAAAATCAGACATGCCTATATGCCCACTGGTGGGGAAATATTACCCCCCCCCGTATCATTCAGAGCATGAAATACTGCAGTAATGTTAAAAAGACCATAGGGTATCCACAGGGCGTATGATGGTTAAGACAGGGTTCTAGAACCTCAAACCAGCCCTAGAACCTCAGTTCTGACCCTGTCTACCACGGAGTGGACCCCAGGACACTGTTTTGTCTCCTTTTCTGTCAAGGGGGTATGATAATAGTGACTTCCTTGCAAAACTGTGGGACAGTTTAATTGAGATACATTTTAAGCTCCTAGCCCTGTGCCTGGCATATGGAAATTACTCAGGGTGCTTTGACTTTGATCCCCTTCTTCATCTTTACGTGTA